TAAATATGCTATGCACTGCTTTCCTTTATCCATTTTATTATTATCCTTATTATTATTATTATTATTATTATTATTTCCTTTGATTTCTGGCGTTTACACATTTCTTTCCGGGTCCCTAGGACCTAAGGTTAGAAATGGCATCATGACACTTTCCACTGACAAAAAAAAAAAAAAAAAAAATTACATAGATAAAGCCCTTCGTAAAGTGTGGGCTGTACTTGTCAGAACAATTTTTTGTATCTCCTTGAGTCATGGACTTCCAGGAATCCCTTCAATTAGTCTACTGGAATATTTTCCAACCAATCCTAGGGCTCCAACTACAACAGAGATTGTTGATGTTCCCATATGCCACATTTTTTGAGATTTCTATTTCAAGGTCCTTGTATTTTGACAGCTTTTTGAATATCTTCAAAGATACATTGCAGTCAGCAGGGACTGCCATATCAATAAGGAGGCACTTTTTTTGTTTGTGGTTTTTAATAACAATATCTGGCCGGTTGGCCTTGATTGTTCTGTCAGTGTGTATTATGTAGTCCCATAGAATTGTAATATGTCCTATCTCCGTAACCGGGTCTGGGTGGTGTTCATACCATTTTCTTTCAATTTCTTTCCCGTAGAAGTTGCAAATTTTCCAGTGCAGATATTGCCCCCCCCCTATGTCATGCCGGGTTTTATATTCAGTGGGTGCCAATATCGTGCAACCTGATACAAGATTATTATCTATCAAATGTATCTTCATTTTTGAGAAACTTTTCTCTAAACCTCATTCTATGTACACATTTAGAGGCTATATTTTTACGATCATCTTTTTCTTTTTTGCTTTTGTTCTTCTTCTTCTTCTTCTTCTTCTTATTATTATTATTATTATTTTGTTTTTAATTATTATTAGGGATTATTAAAAGTATTTCCATTTTTCAATATATCTTTGACAGATATTCTAGTCTAGTTTTAAGGCAGTAGAAATTACAGCTGAATTAGCTTTGGTTAGCACTAAGAGACCTCACTGTAAAAATGTTTGATAGTGGCTTGTTCATTTTCTTCTTTGACCATTCATCGTGTACCCTACACGCAAGCCACCAGTCTGCCACTGGTGCCACTAGTGTTTACTGCTGGTGGTCAGCTGTCGGACTGCCAGCGTGTTCCTCTCGGCTTTGTTACCACCGGCGGACTCAATGTAGAGAAAATTGGAAAAGAAAAGCGTTCCACAACACACGAATGTATACAACATGGCGGTCGACTCAGAATTTATTCCCTTCGGGTTAACTCGGTTCTGCAATGTTGTTCGAGAACCGAAATTTTATTCGATAACCGAGGCATTTTCATCTCGAATTTTCTGTTCGAAAACCGATTTGTTCGACACATGAAACGTTCGGGAACTGAAGTTGCACAATATCACTTTCTGTATTCTTACTCCTCATTGTATATGCCGTTCATGGTCGAAACCGTGTAAACATGTCGTCTACTTAAATCACATGACTATTTTACATGTATTGCCTCTATTCAATTATATATAACCGATACTTGTTTTGAATATACCCTCCATAACTTTATTTTTGCTATGTCATGTTGATTATATTACAATTACTCCAAGGTGTTGATCATCAGATATAATTACGCATGCTAAAATTACAATGGTTAATTTAGTAAACTCCCAAAATGAGGAAGGTTAATAAATATAGTGTAGAAGTTAGTTCATTAGGTTTGTATCACGTGTCATGCGTCATGTCCTTTGAACATGTCATCTATAACTATTTATTTGATTAGTTCTCTATCGTTACCATTCATTTCTCACAAGTGTTATTGATCTGTTTTATTTCTATGTTGACATATTATAAATGCTGTTAAATTTAGAAGGAAAATACCGTGTCATGATGTGAGTTAATATTTAAAGTAAAAGAAAGGAAGAAAGAAAGTTATCGGGCTTAACAATGTTTGAAGAATGCATTCTGACAGGCAGCGGGTCTCTGTCAATGAAAGTAAAAATAAATAAAAGACCTTTGACATCAACCTTGAAATTAATTCCCAGTCAGTTTTCTCTTCAAAAGCGATCAGTGAAAACTGGACATATCCTCAAATGAAAAATAAGGTTGTTTTCTTGTTTTTTTTTTAAATTCTCGTTTTGATGACGAACACCAACCTCCTTGCAATTTCATGTTAGCTTGGATTAAACTAGAGAATCGGTATAGTTTATATGATTTCAGGAAGGGTGGTGTAATGGTTAGCAAGCTTATCTCGCTAGAACAATTACGTATGTGTAGTGAGTTCGATCCTTGCTGGATACCCCTTACTTTCGGCCTTGTGCCACATCCAAGCTACGCTTGGAAAATCACTATGATTTCAGGAAGATAGGTCTTTACTGTCGTATTCTTTTTCTTGGACCTCCATTGTTTCTAACTTTCATCAGCGACCTTTCTGATGTCATCTGTTCTCAATTCGGTATCTATGCTGATGCCGCAACTATTTACTCCTGTCTTAATAGTAAGTCTGGTAAGGTCAAACTGGTGTTAGTTCGCCTTCCTCATGCTGGGAGGTTTTTGTCACTGCGCCAATTATTACAATGTTGTATAGACCCCTCGTGCTGAGGAGCTCTTGGGCGACGGTGCCGATTCGATAATAAAGTAGCAGTCATCATTCTCGCAGCCGGTGATCTCTAGTTGTTTTGACCAGAGATGAAAACAACTTCAACACGGAATTTTAACTTAGCTAGTTTATTAACGTCGGCGTATACATCTTCTAACTAGTCAGTAGGTTTACTTTCCCTCCCTTGGGAAACAGTTTCCAGACACGTTTACATTGCTTGGCAGTTAAGAAACAACTCACTGAAAACATTTTTCTATCTATCGTTCTCACGCTGGGCCAGCCAATCAAAATTGACTTCCTTTGTTTTGTCATGCATCTGATCTCAAAGGTCAGCATCAGGAAGTAGAAGCAGCGATACACTTCTCTAAAAATAATAGACTGCTAAACTATTATTTAACATTGGCAGATGATCTCCAAAAACATCTTACGATCTGTTGTTAAATGCGGCAAGGAGTGACTTGTTAATTTTAACGCCCCCAAAACGAAACTGCTCTTTATTTTACATTAGAAATTCTTGATAAAATCCAAAAGAAGAATCTGCAATATTATTGGTCTTGACCTATCATCTTGGCTTCAGTTCTTTTCCCATCGCCATGTCGTAGTTTCACTGTGCCTTTTCTATAAATACTTTCATGATAATTGTTCTGATGAATTTTTCCTTGACGGTAATCATAATTGTATTCATTGCAAATATTTATTGGGGTCTGATTATTAAATGTAGATAAATTTTATACATGGGGACTAGTTAGGATTACATAGAGACTTGAGATATTATGGTGGCTGTAGTAAAAATAGTAACGTTTTACATAATACACAGAACGTACAAATCATAATTTATTTACACTACGCTCTGTGTATCACATGTGATGTACATAATACAATAAATTCAGTAAAGTGAAAAAAGGAATACTGTGGTATGCTTGGGTCAGTAATTATGGCTAGCTAAGGTAAGACAGATTGTGATAACAAGAACAAAGATGAGGACAATGGTATAGATATAAATAATATAAATAATGACCTTTCAGGTATATTTTTCTCAGAGAGATAGAGAAAGATAAAATATATATATATATATATATATATATATATATATATATATATATGGTGTCCATAAAGTTCGTGTGCACTTTAAAAAATGTATAACTTTATTTGTATTTGCGATAGAAATAATCTGTAAAAAATGTTATAAAGTTTAATATACCTAGTTTTAAGTATAGCTAAAATAACTAATGTGATTTCAGGCATTACTGTAAATCAGTTGGCAAATGTTTTCCGTGAACTGCAAAATCGTATTACCTTTTGTTTTTTTGTTAATGATGGAGGACACATGGAAACTTAAATGAAATTTCAATAAAACCTTCTTTCTAATCCTTTTCACAAATTATTTCTATCGCAATTACAAATAAAGTTATAGTTTTTTTTAAGTGCACACGAACTTTATGGACACTCTGTGTGTGTATATATATATATATATATATATATATATATATATATATATATATATATATATACAAAGGGGGTGGTTCTTCTCACTCATCGTAGCGTAGAGGGCCACACCCTCATCACGCTAGTGTTACTGCTGTGATTTCCATAGCAACAGGCTTGATATACTGATAAGCATATTCCTTTTCAGGATGTAATATTTTGCTTACTTCCTTTTAGTCTGCCTTGAGTGCAGAACGACCAAATCGCAATATAATAATGACAATAATGATTAGGACATTATTAGTAAATAATGTAAATAATGATAATTCCTCATTTCAGAAATTTAGACCTCCCCCCAGCAAAAAAAAATTCTAGCGTATTACTACTGCGACAACGAAAAGGTTAGTCTGAAGAAGTCCATTCTAGAGCCGAAATGCGTTATGTAAGCGTTTATTTCATTCTATCATACATTTAACCAATGGCGAAGCTGTAATTAAAAAAAAAAAAAAAAGAAGATGTACAGGGATTTTGTTTATTTCTGCGAGTCGCTTGTGAAACATGAGAAGGGTAAACAATTCAACTGATGCAGCTGCAAGTGATTTTTTTATGAGGCTCCATCCACCTTACTATTTATTCATCCCTAGAGGGAGAAGCAGCTTCATGCCTTTCCCAAAGCAACAAGATGGCAGATTAAATGGGAAAGAACAGGGTGGAGCCAAATGATTAACTATAGCCGTATAAAATCTGCTGAAAAGCAACTGTAAAAAATGTAATTTGTAATAAACAAACTCCTGACGAATAGGCTAATCAAAGTCAATGTTTTATTCTGACTTTATACAGTTTAACCCTTTGCCTGTTCAGAGCATTTTCTCGTGTACTATCCAAATGTTCCTGCTTGTTCTCAGCTTTATAACTATTGCAAGGCAACTCAGATTATTCGGCAAATAGAATATATATATATATATATATATATAGTGTTTCACATAATAAAAACC